CCCCAGTCTGCTGTTCACAGCTCCTAGAGAGACAAGTCACAACAGTGAGTACCTTCACATTCAGTCCCCTTTGACCTTCCACGTGCAGTCCATATGTATCCAGCGAAAGACATGCCAGGAGCAGGTACAGTCCCACATGGTGAAGCATGACTGCAGGAGAACAGCGGTGTGACGAGTCCACCGCTGTTCACTGTTCCAACAGTGCCCACAGGCAGACCTCAGCATAAGAGGCTGATCTAACTCTCAGCAGCAGACAGACACACCCACATACATACACACACACACACCAAGTGTGTCCGCACACTTCGACCAGGCATACATTCAAAGTGGAGGGGGTCCACAGCCCAGCCCCAGATAAAAGTGAATGAACGGGTCCGACTCAAATGATGTCCTCAAATCTGGGATAACTTCAAACCTCTTTGAAACACGTGATGTCATCCACCTACAACATGAGTATGAGCTAGATCTACTTCTACAAACACTCAATTCTAAGCATCCAAAACGTCAGCATGCAGTGAATAACTGCATGATGTGAGGGAATCCCCTCTGTTTTACACATGCGGGGATAATGGAGGAATGAGCATGCACACGAGGAAGAGAGAGAGAGAGAGAGAAAAAAAAAAACGATCTAAAGGAGAGGAAAGCCACAGTGCCCAAACAACCACGGGTGAGGGAGCATTTAAGGGGAAAACGTTCACCACAGATCCTCTTGAGGATGACTAGATTTACACTGTTGGATTGCAGCAGCAGACACCAGACCCCCTTGGTCTGAAAGTTAAGATGAACAGAGATATATCATTCCGTTTAGGAGTAACAAAACAAACGCCGTTGCATCAAAAGAAATACTAATAAACAAAAGCAGGAGAAGGTTGACTTCAGGTGAACTAAACCTTGGGAGGGTCTACAGACTGGAGGACAGTGGAGCAGAGAGAGCTCGGAAATACATTCAGAATAGCTTGTGGGTCCAGCTACAGCCTCCCTGCTACAAACAGTAGGTAATAGTTTCTGGAAGAGTCTGTTTGTTGCACTGACAATGAACTAAATGTCCATCTTTAGCTACATGACATTCACCAACTACATAAAGTACAGCATTACCACCTGAGGCTAATGTTACTGCTAATCATCAGTACAGTGTCAGCGATCTATTGTAACCTGCTGCACGGTCGTGCAGGGACTCTGTGAATGTTCCAATAGGGAGTGTCAGGATGTTTTTTATTCGACCCGTCAACTCAGAGACAGACTTGGCAGGACTTCTGTGAGTCTGACTGAATATATACCTCAACAAATCTGAAAAATCTTCACCACCGTTGACGGACATTTAAAAGTCAATTGCCGGCTTCAACTTTAATCTGTGCAACTCTGTGCATTCCGACAAGAGTAAAAGAGCTGAGTAAACAGTGGAACAGCTGATACTGGTGAAGGATTGTGATGTTTGCTGACACGTGTAATGGTCAAAGTCAGTCAAAAGGAATGATAACTGCTACCTCCACCAACACATTGGTCAACACTTTGCCTTCAGTTCAACTCTCAGCCTGACAGGCTAATGGTCAAGTGGTGACATTCATGACAGAAATTGGTTTTTGACCTTGTTGGTCCTGAGTTGAACACACAGGAACCTATCATTGTGTCTCTATGTGCAACCTAGGTGGAGGGCTCTGACCTATGACACCAGCTTTGGCCAGCTGTTGCCTCTGACTAAATCAGCAACATTAGCAGAAATTAAAGGAAAAACATGACCATAAACCCAAATCCAGAGACACTGACGATCCAAGGTTTTACCAGACTTTGTCCTATTTATGTTCTAGCAATAATCAGTAAACCAATAACATTTTACACACAGACTGCAGTAGAAACCTCGCCTCGAGGTTCAAACACATCTGACCCATGACTTCCTGGGATGCGGCCAACTCACATTAAGTGTCTTAGGGTCTAAAAGATTGGGTCTGACGTACAGATGTAAGTCTTTTGACTGTTCCAAGACAATGGGACAACCTATTGAGGTTCCAAAACAATAGGATGGACTATTAACTACTAAGCAGGAGGACACAGACATGGGCTCATGTTTCGGTTATAGAGAAACGGATCTGTGTCAACACTGATGGATGAACTCAGGTTTGTGTTGTTTAACACGTCAAAATCTAATTGCATCGCCTTTGGTCCAGAGTTGAAAATCCAAAATGGCAGAAACTGTGTAGTAAATCCCATAGGCATCAGATTAGCCGGGGACGCCGGGGACATGTCCCTAGCAGTTGGACTCTGCTGTCCTTATGGTAGGTGCACATGTTAGGAGTTTCATTAATCATTAATTAATTTGATTATATGAATTTAATCATTAACCGTGCTTTTATTTATTTCATATTTTAAGCGCAAGACGTGTGTGTATGTGTTGCTAAAAAATGGACTGACGTTGTTTTCACTTTTCATGCCAGAAATAAAAGATGACGTAACAAGCTGATGATTTACCGCAAATTATTTAACACTACGCAAAGAGCTTACGCTGCCGCCACAAATGATTTTTTTTAAAGATTACTTTAACACTCGGATTTCTGTAATGTTTTACTTTAATATCAGTGAAATGATTTATTACTTATTTTGTTAAGAAATGCCAGCTAAGATTTATCTAAGAGCAAGGTGCAGTCAGCAAAAGAGCCACATCTGGCTCGCGAGCCATAGGATCCCCAGCTCTGGTCTCAAGTACGATCTGCTCCTGTTTACTTAACAAGACTTAAGAAAAGTGGGAATTTTAAATTAAGGACTGAATTCATAATAAATACTTTAAATCAGTTTTTCCACATATGTCTGTGTATTATGTATGTAAATGACGGAGTAGAACTCACAGTATCGGCCAGCTCTTCCTTCTGTTTACGGACCTCGGCTCGTCCCTCTTCTTTGGCCTCCGCCATCTTTGACTGCCCTATCTACGGTACCTAACACTTTTTAAACCACACTCAAGCTTATGGTTATTATCCCTGGCACTTTGAAAAACAAACTGGTTAATCCCATAGATCTTTTTTTATTTACCAATCAGAGACAAGATTTTTTTTTTTTTTTTTTACTGAATCATTTACGCTTGTTCAGCTTATTCCAATGCATGGATCATGAAGTTACTATCTAGACTAAAGCTGCACATTTTAAAATCAGATTATATTTCTATTTCAGGCTGAACAGTGAGAGGAAAAATCCAAAACAATAGCACAAAAACTACCAACCCCCTTACTTCAAACCTATGTCACAGCATAAAGCAAAGTTTCAATATAGTAAAAAAAAAAAAAATACTAAAGAAATGTAACTTCATAAATTCAAGGGTTTAACATACCAAAAATGAAAAACATCAAGTTCAATTTATCATTTTGAAAACCAGTGAGGTCAGGTGTCATCTAGGAAGCGGTCTGTTTCTTTTTAAGGCTTCACAGGCCACTCCATTAACAACCCTTTACCTCTCTGGGGGGCTGAGGTATACTGCCCTCGTCTTTGAAGCAGAACAGTTCCCACTGTGAGAAAAGAGTTTTGTTGGTTTTCTGACTTTGACGCATGTTTGGTCTGGACCATCAGCTCCTCTGACAGGTGCTCTGTGTACACAGACAAAGACCTCGGAGGAGTTCATCTACAGCTGCAAATGTGCACCAAGATGTTCAACACTCCTGGAGGTCAGCGACCTTAGCTAAACCTTCACTTACAGAGCCATGGATATGGATATGGCAGGTTTTTGGTCAAAAACTAATGGTTTTGTAAGAACTAAACAACAGGCAAACAATTATGTTGTTGTAAGAATATTGGCGTTCAAAATTTTAAAGGGACATTAATGAGAAGGATGTCGATTTTTGGACATAATGAGACAGACAGACAGACAGACACACAGACAGACAGAGACCCATTCAGACAAGATGCAAAAACAGAAACCATTAAAAAGGAACCAGATGAAGGAAGAAAGAAGGATAATGAAAAAAATATGCCGTTTTCTTTAACTGCTGAGACTGATCTGCTGCAGATTGTAGCTGAAAGCACTTTCTTCAACACAAACCAGCAGGGGAGACATTTCTGTCCTAACCATCATTACAAAGGCATTATACAGCCATCAGCACCGGGACTGGAAAGTAGTTCAATATGCAGAAATAAATTGCTGACAGTTGATCATTCAAATGTAAACAATTCTCCCCACAGTCCAAGCAAATGTTTTCAGGTCCAAATGGCGGGTCAATAAAAAGTGGACCTAGGATTTGTGAATTTCGTGAAGATATGAAATTCTCCAAAATGACTCCAGAGAACCAACATCAACAACAAACAAACATCATTTCGAAGAGACTTAACCTTTGTTTTGTTGGATTCACTTGATGCTTATACACCTTTACAACGTGTTCTTCAGATTCCGTGTCTACAGAGAACATGAGTGAGACTGGTAAGGGATGGTAAGAAGGGCTGCTCACCTGACGTCACAACATGTTTAAATTAGAAAGTGAAGCCAAAGAATAGAGAGAAACTGCAGTACCAGCTGTGACCTCTGAAATATCAACTGCACAGGAGCAAATACAACTGGCTGAATAATTGGGCTGTGAACATGTGCATAACAAAAAGGTATAAAATGTATATAATTCAAATTTTAATGGTCAACGTGCACCTAAATGTTAATAAAATATATATGGAATATTGTTTGTAAAACAAAAAAAAATCAAATGAATGAAGTTAACTGTTTTAATTTAAAGAGGTCCTTGATAATTAAAGTTGATTTTACTTTCAAGTCTAAAGGTCAGGTGAGCAAAACATGCACGTACACGTGCACAGGGCTGGACGTTTAACAGACAAACATAAAACAAAAAGTGAGACTGCCAAAAACCAGACCAGTGACTGGTATGAGTGAATGTATGTATGTCCTCACAGCTGGATATAATCACCACAACGACCGGTCATAACACAGGTGATGTCACAGGTCACAGCTGGAAAACTAGGCAACTGTGGTCTTTGTTTGTTTGTTTATTAAAATGTGTTCGACGAAATGTTCTCACAGTTCTGCGGACGTTCAGCAGAGTCTCGTCCTCTGGACTAGAAAGTAGGTTCTCCAGGTCATTTGAGGAGAGCAGTAGGTTCTGAAACAGAGACATCGCTGACTTAAAGAGAGATTCACAGACAAATGTTCAACTTTTCTCCATTGAAATCAGGTGATTGACATATCGAAAATACAACTTCACGTTTGACCAGACATTTAGGTGTGAGACACTTCTAATCACCATTAATCTGATCAAAGTTGTCCATTTATGACATTACATTTCATGTTTGTTCATGTCCTTTAGGTTCACAACCTGTCTTAACACAACTTCAAGGCCAAACACACCAAAGGTTCACTCTGATTTCCCCTTCATTTATCCTCACCTCCAGCATGTTGGTGCGTGGGGAACGGGGAGTCTTGGGGGACTCCTCAGGGCAGCGGGCTTGGTGGTGGCTGCAGTGCAGCCGGGCAGCACCTGGGTCATCCATCAAAATGAGCAGTTGTCTGAGTTGACCCTAAAGAGACACGAGTCAATAGCTGTGTCAGGAAGTTTATAAAAGCACAAGACTAACAGAACATCCATCCCACGTTCACAGACTGTAGGGGGATTATTCACACTGACTTTTACACCTTGATCTTCAACATGCATTCACACTCCGGATAAAGCACCAAGAAACACAGCATTCCCACTCAACACTTCATTCATTTTAATCATAGCAGAAATACTCGATTCTATTTTCAGTTTGTCTAATTAAAGAATATCATACCCATAATATTCAAGGGACAACCTGGATCTATGTTGTCAAATCACGGCAGTCAGCTGGTATAATGAGAAATTACATTCTTCACCAGCAAAAGTTCAAAGTGACAAAACAAAGTGTTATTTATTAAAATAATAAATTCTCTGAATATTTGTCTGTAGTTAATCAGTTTCTTTAAGTACACAGATGCGGAGGCTACGGGACAGTACAAACAAAAGTCATTAGAACACAGAACTATACATCAGACAAACTGTTGGAAAATCAATTTGTCTACAGATATAAAATGACACTACAAATATATATATATATATATATATATATGTGTATATATATATATATATATATATATATTATAATAAGCCAGAAACTTCGAGTATAAAGTCTACACTGTCAAACCCACAATGCCCTATATACTCCTTTTCTGTATATCCCTCTTCTCAGAATGCAGTCAGGATCAAACACAGGATATGACCTCACACGTGTGTGATGATTACATGTGTAGAACGTTGATAAGAATTGTCATGACTTCTTTATTCCCATGGACTTTTGGGGCTTCCAGGACATTCGGGGTTAATACACAGACACAGTGATCAACTTTCTTTCATGTTTAATGTTAAAGCAGGGAGTTTTCTGTCCAAACACTCATCAGTGCATCCTCTGTAATTTCACGTAGCCCTGGCACAGACAGGTTCATGATTTAGTGCTCAGAGCAGTTTTCAGGGATTTCTACACATACTTTAGTAAAACAATCACAGAGTATCCAAGTATTAGAAGCTGAGAGTCTGTGTGTCTCAGAGAGTGGGGTCTTGTATTTTCTCAGATAAGGTTTTGACCTGAGCTTAGCAAAATAACACAAACGAATTGCACGCAAATGTTTCCAGTGAAATCACGAGGACAGTGGGGGCAGTGGTGATGAAAGAGAGTGAGAACAACTTACTTTAAAGGTCGTCTCTGAACCATCGGTGATACCACCAATCACCAACAGTCCATCTGAGCCAAGTCTAAACCCATGGTAGATCCAGTCCACGCTCTCCAGCAGAGCACAGTCTACGTACACAGCCAGTTGCCTGGTCGACACGCTGATGGCCAAATGGTGCCACCCTCCGTCACTAAGACCGCTGACTGGAAACCTGACGTGAAGTGGGTTGAACAAATTTCTATAAATGTATTGTTGAAACATTTTGAATAAAAAACAAAAACACTGTTTGTTTCTTTTCTGCAGAAATTTATAGAAGAGTTTTTCATCTGCTGGTATTTTTGCTGGAGTTGAATTGAAGTCCCTTATTTACTCCACTTTACACTTTACTATGGACCCGCTATGGTTGTCATACAGTAAAACACTTACTTTTGTTTTGTTTTTTATCTTGAAATATATAATTCCAATTTTTTTGTAATTGAGCCATAAGAAAGGAAGGTTATGCGCATTCTTTATGCACGGTTAACACACAGAGCATTCGGCCATCTCTGTTGATAACACAATGTGTAGTCACCTCATAAAACCCCAGCTAAGGTAACATTCCTTGTGCCAACCACAAAAGACGGCTTATTATCAGCGAGTGTCTATCTATACTAGCCCAGTTCTGTCTGCTGTCATACACTGATGTATGAAGCCCTGCGGTTTCAGTGAGGAAAACCTGCCAAGAGACACAATAAATCATTCCAATGAAGAGACAGCCAAACGTTGTCTAAAGTCACACACAGATGAAAAGTACAAACAAATACACCAAAGTCATGCAGCAGAAACAGGCACGAGTTCTCCCTCAATTACCTGGAATGGATGTTGTAATCACATACTGACATCTGGAACTTTTGGATCAAAGTCAAAGACATTGACAAGAGTTAAGGAAAAAAAAAATCCTTAGGCAAAAGAACAGATGTAGGAAAGTGAACTCACTCATAGTGTCGTTGCTGGGCTCCAGTCACAATGATGGAGGAGGCACTGATCCGTAGCTGTAGTGTGATGTGTCCGCTGAGGCCCAGCACAGTGACAACGCTGCGTTCTTCTTTCTGAGAACTCTGTAGCTGAAGCAGCAAACTAAATTCTTCTGAAAAGCTACACATGCACACACACACACACACACAGACACACACAAAGGCATTGTGAATTCAGTGTTTCAAGTAATGGCTCACTCTTTATGTGGATACAGCGTGGACTATGTTTTGACTGTCAGTATATTCTCACTCTTTATGTGGACTATGTTTTGACTGTCAGTATATAACATGGCCGTAGAATTTTAAAGCACACAGTCTCCAACTTACGCTATCTCAAAGGTTTAAAAAGCATCAGTGCCAAAGTACTTTACCCATCAGTGAAGAGTTCTTGAAGGGGTAGAGCCAAGGTGGAGTACTGCCCCACCTGCAGGACTGGACACCTGTTGTCTTCCATCAACACTGAGACATTGTTGCTGCCGGACACATGTAAAGAAAGCTCTTCCAGAATGTTCACTTCATCTGTAACATAGAAAAAAATGAATGAAATGAAGTTAGAAAAACTTTTCAGGCGGCATTGTGCTGCGACAAATCAAATCAGCGAAAAGTATATCTTAACAACACCTCCCTGAAGTAAGCAGAGAAATTGGGAAACAATGGCAGACAGGCTTATCATTTCCATGTGTGGGCAATTACACCACTGCTATATTTTACAGGAATAAAAACAAAAGAGACAGGGGCTAAAGTTGGCCAGGAGGTGGGACTCAGTGGTAAGACTCTCTGTGGCTTGTTTCACTTCTGTACCACTAAAACTGGGTTGACCGGACTAAATAATGACTGGTAATTTTTCCCTGGAGCATCTATAGGCCGTAATGTGAACCACGAAAGTCCTTTAGAAATTGAATTCCGCTCTGACGTCTGGGAACTACACGATCTCAACTTCACAAAAAAAGAACGAGTTACGTTAAACTTACAGCAAAAAGTTTGTCGCAACATTTCCTGGTTTTTATATCGATGCATTTTTATAAAGAATTAGAGTCTTCAGGGCGCAATAAGATTTTGGTGCACGAGCGGTGTCACAGTTCGACATGTGATCGTGCTAGACCAATCGAGTAGCTGATTGATGTCAACACTCCGGCAACACGGCTTCCTCCGTGGTTCTACTCAACGTTACCGAAAGAGAGGAATTCTCCTAAGAGTCTTCTAAAGTGGGCCAAATGGATTCTAAACAGTGCTTTATACATTTATACTGCACGAAAAACAATGAGGCAAATAGATGATAAGGTGAACTTTGTATGTTAAGTCAATGACAAGGTCCATTTGTGTATTAATTCGTTCATTTATTCACTAACTAAATACAACACTAATCAATCATACAAAAACTTCTTTAAAACCTAAACATATGTACAATATATAAAACAATAAAAAAAAAACAGCAAAAGAAAACGAATGATAACATTAACCATGCAACCACTGCAATACAACTGCCAAACAGGCAGGACCAGTACAATCATAACATAACATACGTGTATATATACATAAATAAAAAAAAGTTTTTTCCACTTCATTTACATGCGAAAAAAGTACATTAGATAAATCTTCATATTTAATGAAATATAATTTTACAAAAGATTTCCTGATCATGAAGTGTTTGTGTATTTTATATATTGAAAATTCATCAAGCAGACCGGTTTTGGCCCACAAGCCGTATATTTGACACCACTGGACTTGACCATAATAGTAACAGTATAGTAACAGGAATATAGTGACAATGTCTCTGGTATTTAGGTGAGTATGAACAAGTAGGAACTGTTATGAGTTCATTAAGGCTTTACTGGTAACTGTGTCTGTCTATATCAGTACTTCTCAAATAGCAATATAGGGAGGTGCCAGGGACGGTGGAGGGGCTTCCAATGGAATATGGCACACTGGACACAAGGGTACCACTGCTGTAATGCTTAAATAATAACAAGCCTCCAGTCACTAGGTGGCAGCAACTCATACAGTGGTTCATACAGATAGAAAAATACATGTTATCAGGTTGTCAACAGTATTTCAATTTATGGTGGTGTGGGTCCGAACCACTGGTCTATAATGACTACTTATACATGGTTGATGGGTTCATTTGTTATAATCTCTAATCATAACCTGACAGTGGTCACGCTGATGTGTTTAAATGTTAGGGGACTAAGGTGGCAGACATCTGCAGCAAACAAGACCCATCTGTTCATCTGCTGGCACTTACTGACATTACATTAACAGTCTCCCCACTCATGGTTTTGCTAAACAGTGGGAAAACACAATTATACTCGATTTGCTTTTAATTTATTTGTGTCTTTGTTCTGGCAGATTACAGGGCAGGCAATTCAATCTAAGAGTAAATATTTTCCTGAGACATTTTTTATGAATCCACAATACATGTTTTAAAATATTAACCTGTGCCTGTCTAATATATGCGATCCGTGTGTCAAGCTACTACTGGTCAACATTTTTTAACTTCTAATAATTAAAATAGTTTGTAATGAGTTAGTCATTGTTGTTCTGGTGCACCTATGGTTAAACAGCAGTCATTGGACAATGGTTGTGGGGAACGTTTCATTTCCATGGTCTTTGTGTCTTTTTGATGTATGTGTTTTACAGTGTATTCCTGAAAGATCATGTCATGTACCAGTGAAGTACCCTGGAGGAGAAAATAGTCTGTCACTCTCCTTCAACACTATAATCAAAAGATCAAGCTTTTAAGAAGAGGGGCTGGGGGTGAGGGCGAGGTGTGCCAGTAATGCTTGTTCTGTTTCTGTCTCAAAAGTAAAGCAGATGTTTGAGTGCTGCCGTAGGAGAACTGTATCAGAACTTTCCTGGGTTGGCTTAGTCCCAATGGTTACTTTTTTTAGAAGACAGAAGAGACCAGGAGAGGGTCAACCAGGAGATAAAAATGCATTCTAGTCTAGCACTAACCAGGTACCAGAACTTTATATCACAATGATGTGTTTGTTATATTATTGCTAACTCTTCTATTGACCCGCTGCCAAGATGCATGCAGGTAATGTAGAGAAATTCCAGATATTTATATTAAAAAATCAAATAAAAGTAACCTTGAATGATAAAAACATGTCACTAAGCCAATACTCCTCAAATAGTGGGGCGGCACGGTGAGGTGTCGGGGGGGCGTGAGGGGCATCCAATGGAATAATATAGTAAGCTGGACTTAAGTGTACCACTGCTGTAATGCTGTAATGATAACAAGCCTCCAGTCACTAGGTGGCAGCAACTCATACAGTGGTTTATACAGATAAAAATATACATATTATCAGGTTCTCAATAGTATTTCAATTTGCAAGGGTGTGAGTGGGGGGAGTGAGGGGATGGGCATGAAAACAATTCTGTCCCCAAGGGGAGGCATGACAGAAAATAACTGAGAACCACTGCACTAAGCCAAGTAGAATAAAGTTGCAGTTTTTACTGTAAAAGCTTATGACTGAAACAAATTGGGTTCACCTCCTGGGCAGGTTCGAATCCCGGTGAGGGCGGTTGGTACCTTCCAGTGGACTCACCACCTGCAGGAAGGTTTGGGGGGGTGGTACGGTGCAATGTGATTTGGCGACTGCTGCCCCCGCTACCCGGTAACGGATAAGCGGATGAAAATGGATGGATGGGATGGAATAATAATAATAAAGCAATAGTATTGGAATTGTATTGGTATCGGCCGATATCCAAATCCAAAATATCGGAATCGGATCAGAAGTGATAAAATGAGGATCGGTAGATCCCTATACTGTATACTTGAAAGCTGCCTGAATTTTTAAAAGTATGTCCAAGAATGGTCAAATATCACTTGGCAACATGGATGATCCCAGCAAACAAGGTACAAACTGAAATACTTCAAGCAGCACGAGTAGAATGTCAGTATCATAGTTTTCTATAAAAGAGTTACTTCATTCAATCCATTGTGGCAAACAATCAGAGAAGAGAAATCAAAGTAATTTACTGATGGTGATGGAGCAGTTAAACATGTCACATCAGAAGCAGTCTGCAATCTTTCTCTAGGGAGGTGTGACCACAACGACTCCCATTCACACCATGACATGCGACTCCTTTGTCAAGTGGAGAAGGGAGTGGTCTAGAGAAACATAACTACTAGTGATCGCTTTTACATAAACCAGAAACTGATAAAGTTCCTCAGGTGAGGAACGAAACATCTTTCAAGCTCAAAGAAGGCCAGTTGCTTACAACTAAACTCTATGACATGACCTGGATATATGAGAATCTACACCGACAAGGAGAGTGGAGTTTGGCTTTAAACTCTAACCAAGTGTTTGAAGATTGAAGAAGACACAGAGTTGATGTGTGGAGAAAGTTCTGACCATATGGAACTGATCAAAGCTTTTACTAAATATTGTTTACTGTTTATGTGGCTGACATATGTTTCTCATAGAGTCACTGCTGAGATGTTACAACAACTCCATCAATTGCCATGATTTGCCCACATTGTTGGAGAATGATCTGAACCCGACAGAATGTGATCAATATTGAATATGTTGTATTGTGCTGATCTGGAAATGTCAACAAGATAACACTTGTTCACACATTCTCACTGACAGTAGAATATGACAAAATGAAGGCCTTCTTGTTTTATTCTTCTCTTCTCTAATCATAAATTATATACTGTAGGTGAGAGGACTACACGATGACCTTCAATCTGTACGTGTTTTCTCTTACAAATCAAATATCATTGACTGGGAAGGCTGATGTGATCGCTCTGTTCCTCTGTGTTCTCTGTTAATGATATAAACATGAAGGAAAACATTCTACCAATAACAAGGTAAATCCCCATTGCTCACTAAGGTGATGGGTTAAAGCAGTGTTTTTAATGACTTATCCTACTGTTTGTGATGATGATGAAAACAAAAAACAGCTGTTGGATTTAACTTTAGTCTGAGCAATGGCCGATGACACCTGCAGCATTTCTCAGCTTTCTATCCCTGGCGAAACATTTCCTTCTTGCCAGAAGCAATTGGAATGAGAGTGAGAATAAAGAAACCAATTACATTGGCTGGCATTTCTGGGGTGTTGTAATACAGATGTACAGAAAGAATAGTAAATAGTAAAGACGACTATTGTTGTTTTTTGATTTAACAGACTGCAGTCTTTGGGAGAGAGGAGCAGTGTCCATCCGTCTGTTTTAAATGTGCATAATTAACTGTGTGTCGAAGTAGTGTCCAAAACTTTTTTTCATTTACAAGAAAACAGCATCTATAATTCCCTATATAGGGAGTAGGGAATGAGTGATTTTGGACACAGCCTATCATAGGTACCTCTTCTGTCTAAACCTACAACAGCTTTTTGACAAAACACAAACACGCCTGCCTTGCAAGCAAATAGTCCTGGGTTAGATTCCCAGAGGATCCACATAATTGGCGCCTCCAAGGGGCAGCCTGTTGAAAACACTTTCCAGTGTGGGATCGATAAGATTCATGAAAAAAAAAAATTAGCGTTCTATAATGTGGTAGTTAACTGGTTTGATGATAACAAGAATATCAAAAGATCCTTTATCCAATCAAAGTCAACCACCCTGCCTGTTACCAAAAGACTGCTTTGGCCAATCGCCATCAACCTCTGTGTTGTCCTACAGGGAGATTACTATCTGCCAAGAGATCCAGTACAGACCACCATTACTGCCCTGATAATGTTTGTAACAGGCAGGAGTATAAAGACATCCATCAGCAGCAATGGAATCACAGGAGACGAAAGACAAACGTTGGAGTGAACACAGGAAATACAAGAGCACACTCCATGTTCCTAAACATGTCACATACACATGCTCTCAGTGATGATCTTTTCAACAAGAACATAGTCTGTGTTAATTTCCGACATGTACAAGAACCTGATGGAATAACCAGAGCAACACTGGTTTATGATTTGAA